CAAGCAATACTACTAATGAATAACGACCGAATTAAAATGACCTAATTATTAACCTGATACCCTACCTAACAAGTATTTCAAAAGAATACCTATTGCGTAGATATTTAAAGATAATTATGATAACATTTTTGTTGAAGTTTTGTTTTATTATGATAGAAATTTAACATTGTTCTCTTATCTTTTATATCTATTCTAATTAAAGTGTTTAATCATAGATCAAATTGTTGAACCAAATCAGTGTAGACATTCAATAACAACATCTACTTTCTACAATTTTCCTGTTTATAAATACTCAAGTAAGAGACAAAATCAATTGTGATATTCTATATAAAAAAAAGAATAAATTAAGTAGGATTATATTTAAAAAAAATAAACACCTAATATACAAAATCATTACAACAGTGGCTCATACAAAATGGAATTATTCTTCATATAATAACAAACTCCATTAACATGAATGAATTACCAATGAATCCAAGTAGGTTTTCATGAGCGCCAATCCTTTACAATTCACCATTTTCTCGCACATTTTAGTTCGCACCGTGTCGCAAATCATTTTGCTTATTTGTGGCACATCAATACTTAACAACAACTGCACATGGGCATCAACAAAGCGCACTGGACGTAACTCGCACAGTTTTGAAATTAACCGGACGCGAAGCAATTTGTGTTCGCTAAAACTTCCTTTTTAATCGTATAAATTCAGTTTGTACCCGAATACCACTTGAGTAATATCTGCGCACGTTACGTTTTCGTAATTTTCAACTATAATTAAGTACTTTATTAGTATTATAATTAACGTAAACGTACACGTTTAAAGACGAACGTTCTTCAACTGAAGGTATTCTGTCCCTAAACCTTAATTGCCTATTTATCTAATGACCGACGGAGTTAGTTATCTTTTGGCCCTAATACACCTCCCTCAAGAAGGTTGGCCATTAATAACGCTTGTTTAGAAACTATTTTAATGGTTAATTTTTATTTTATTATTTAGAATTACTCCTAATTGCGTTGTGTCTAAAGTTTAGAATTCTGAGAATGTAATTTGAGGAAACTTATATATTTCAAATACAACAACATCTTTTAATTTTTTTTTTCTTTATTATACTTTGTATTATTTAATAAAATAATTTAATTAATCCCCGCTAATTCAATAAAATAATTGCTATCTCGGTTTTACAAAACTTTTGCTAAAAGTGCTCGCAAAAATGTTAAATGTAAAGAACATGTACATTGGTCCTACATTATCAATGTAAGGTTTTTTTTTTATACAATTTAGAATGGCAAACAAGCTGACGGCCCACCTGATAGAAAGTGGTAACTGTCGCCTATAGACATGAGCAGTACCATAGACATAACAGAGTATACTGTTTCGTCCATGATACCCCCCATGCGTTGCCATTCCTGAGGATTCAGGTGTTATTCCTCTGTACCCAGTAAATTCACGCCATATCTCACCCTTCAAACCGAAACACAGCCATGCAAACACAACTGCTTCACGGTAGAAACACGAATGGGACAGAGGTACCCAAGCAATCGACTTTTGTACAAAGTCTCCCTCTGGTAAGGTTAAGTATATATTATAATCTTTATACATATTTTTAACTATAATTACATAAAACAATAAAAATGAAAAATGTGCCGTTTGTCTCACTTTTGTTTTAATATACTTTAACCGGCTGCCACTTCTAATAATCGTAAAGAATGAAATAGAAAATCAGTGGAGCGGCTCAATGGTAGAATTTTATCTTATCAACGGTATGCGAGATCGACTGCACTTATCGTAAACTGCATAACTTGAGCACGAGCTCCCTTTTAGAATCGATTAACCTACTGAACAGTCACCACATATAGTTGAATGGATCTATAGAGTCGCTGTTACGGAAGACCGCGAATACTATATATATATATATATATATATATAATCGTATTTTCTGATATTGCTCACAACTTAGGTTACATGTTTGTTTTTATTATTTACTTCATTTTCTCGCACTGTATAACTATGTTAAAGTGAATGCTGTTAATACCTATAATAGGCATGTGCATTAATACTGTATTATATTTAATGTTTGTTATACCTATATGTTATAATGCAATATGCTGTTGGTGTTCCTTAAATAAATAAATATACACGTGTAATATCGTCTTTAGCGCGCCAATGAAACTAGTACAAGAAACTGTCTTTAACAGAAGAGAAAATCCACCAACCACAATACTATTATGAGAGACCATATGAGATATAAAGAGAATATGCATGTGGTAACATTATTGACGAGAATTTAACTCAGCAATGCCAATGACAATAAACTTTCTAAGGATGGATAATATATAGCAATATCGATATATATATATATATATATATATATATATATATATATATATAGAGAGAGAGAGAGAGAGAGAGAGAGAGAGAGAGTAATAAGAGAGAGAGATGAAGCAGTTGTGTTTGCATAGCTGTGTTTCAGTTTGAAGGATGGGACATGGCGTGAATTTACAGGATACAGAGGAATAACACCTAAATCCTCAGGAATGGCAACGCATGGGAGGTATCATGGGCGAAACAGTATACTCTGTTATGTCCATGGTACTGCTCATGGCTATAGGCGACGGTTACCATCTTCCATCAGGTGGGCTGTTAGCTTGTTTGCCATTCTAAGTTCTGTAAAAAAAAATGGTCGACATCGAATTGAGTTATGACCTTTTTTCGCCACCAATATTCAGAGGAAACCAATTTATAGATATTGGAGCAGTACTGATATTAGCCATGAATATTCTAACCTATTTTGAAGACATAAATTACTTACAAGCTATTGAAAAAAAAAAAAAACAATGTTTACACATGGAAAAATGACGCAAAAGATTCTTCGGTTGATAAATGTAGAGGAAACAATCTGTATTCCATGCAAGAAACACTTCAAGGTGAAGACAATAAATAAATGTCTTTGGAACAAAAATATGAAGCAATCAATTGTACGTCAGTAAAACAATTGTACCAAATACTACATAAAATTCTATAAACGATATAACTCATTGTTGTTGGGGGAACGGAATTGTTAGTGATGGAGTTTAACTGGTCATTACTGATAATATACCTTATCAGGTAGATCTGCATGCGGTTTTCCCTGGAAACTATCGTTATTAATGCGTTACGATGGACCAACTACCTCTTAATCATGTTTTTATGTAATTTTTGTATACATATTATTAATGTTTTTAGTCTGTATCATTCTTTGAAAAGAACAATAAAGCATTTTCATTCATTCATTCAACTGACCTGCTTCGTCCTTACCTATCATCCCTCACTGGTGCTCCGCCAGTATATGAAATTTTTTTCACCAATTAAAAAAATCATTGCTGTTCAAACGAAAGCTGTAATAATTTAAAACCGGGGCACGAGTAACCGAACTAGGTGCATACCTAGCGACATAAGTTGACTAGAGACATTCCAGTTAACGGTTCTGAAATCTACGAAAAAAAAATGATCTTAAACTTGACACGGCGAAACCAGTTTGTAACTGGCCACAAACGCTGATACTATCTTATAAAATAATCATTACGGTTTTGTATTAGTTAACTATGAATGAAATATATTCATTTAGCCTGTAAATGTTGTCGAGCAAATCCAAATGAAACCTTCACTGCTGTTACTTAAAGCTTCAAGTCGATCGTCTTGGTGCTGCAACTTGGGAGCCTATGCTATTTATTGGACAGACAATTTCTATGTAACTCTAATTTTCTAAATGGATGCTATTATATAAACTGACAGCTTCAACTCGAGTGTAACCAACTCGACTTGTCTTTGTTAAGTTGATGGGTGATATTTTAAATGTATGAAAGTGTGGAATCGGTTTCTGGCGCGCCCATCTCCTCAATTTGTGCTCAAGGGGCATTCCTCGGTAATTATGATGTCTTACTGGTGATCACTGAACTTGAAACTTGATATTTGACGGTGTAAGTGTTAGACGAGATTTTGATACAGAAACTGGTAAGCTGAGCGTGTTTCAAGATAATCTAGTTTGACCACTTTTGCCTGACAACATATCTTGGATTGTAATAATGGAATATGTACCGGAAACCTTGCTATGTGTGTGATTTGTCAAATTTAATATACAAACATAAATCTATACAGTTTTTAATAACTTCTTATCATTTATATACATTAAAATGTTAATTTAGATACGCAATAAGAATCAGAAATAATTAAAGATTGTTTCCCACCGACCTCATATACAATAAATACTGATTTCAATTGTAAAAAAAAAAGTTATTTTGATTAAAAAATTAAACCACTGAACCGATTTTAATAAAATTTCTATGACACCAAATTGTAAGTATATCCTTTCAGATACAAAAAAGAATTTCCCAAATCGGTTTAAAACTGACGAAGTTATAAGAAAATACACATAAAAAAAATTAAACCGAATTAAATATAATAATATAATATATAACTTATTTTTAAAGTGGGTGGAAAAGTATTCGCATACATAAGAATGTAAACTAAAACATAATACATTTATAAAGTAAAAACATCAAAATTTTGGTATATTTTATTTTTCAGTGATTTATTATTATAAATATTTAAGATGTATTTCTTATAATTTTTGTTTTTACCAATTAATTTTTACTATAGTGTTTTAGAAGGAACAATAAAGAACACGAGTATCTATCTAAAAGTATCTTTTGAACCGAAGAGAGACCGTACAAAAGTCGTCTGCATGGGTACCTCTGTCCCATTCTTATTTCTACTGTGAAGCAGACGTTTATGGATGGTTTTAATTTGAACAATAGATCATAGCAATGAAATTACAGGGGGCGGAGGAATAACATCGTAATTCTTAGGGATTACATTATGCATGAAGGGTACCATAGGCGACACAGTATACAGTATGTTATGTCCATGTTGCTGTTCATGATTATAGGCGACGGTTACTACTTAGTTGTACTACGTAGTTTATATGGCAATCTAAGTAATAATAAAAAAAAAGTTATGCACTCACCTCAATATCACGAAACACATCACGTATATCTGGCTTCCTGGCTCTCGACGCGGCTCTCTTTTTCCTCACAGTTCTGTTAAGCCTCCTCACTCTCCTTCTCACTGCGGCAGCCTGCTCCCTCGGCAACGGGCTGATTGCCTCGCCCAGCTGCGCCTCTGTCACCTCGAGGCCCGCCTGGAAAGGCGCCGCGAGGGAGCCCAGGCCTGCCGCTTGCAGCCATTCCGTTTCCAACTCTCCCTCTGTGGACAAAAAAAAATTAAATATCAAACTTGCCATAAATAAAGAATAAATAAGTGTACATACAATCTTATCTTACTAAGAAAATTATAAATAGACGATACCTGTACATGAGAGATGGTTAATAAAAATTAATATGAAGGAGTATTCATATAAGAACAATACTCGTAACTGTCACAACAATAACTTTTAGAAATTTATTCTATTTATATGTTTGTTTCGGTATCACGCAAAAACCACTACGCTCTATAAAATGAGTACACAAATTACCAGAGGGAGACTTTGTACAAAAGTCGATTGCTTAGGTACCTCTGTCCCATTCGTGTTTCTACCGTGAAGCAGCTGTGTTTGCATGGCTGTGTTTCGGTTTGAATGGTGGGATATGGCGTGAATTTACTGGGTACAGAGAAATAACAGCTGAGTTCACAGGAATGGCAACGCATGGGGGGTGTCATGGGCGAAACAGTATACTCTGTTATGTCCATGGTACTGCTTATGTCTATAGGCGACGTTTACCACTTTCCATCAGGTGGGCCGTCAGCTTGTTTGTCATTCTAAGTTGTATAAAAAAAAATGTTGTTTTTACTCGTATTTCAATTTTGTTAAGATGGAAGTCAATTTTTTTTTATATTTTTTATTACAAATCGTCGATAACTCGTTAACACGGGCCATCTTGTTTGCTGTTCCAAACAAAAAAAAAATACTATAGCAAGAAAACTACAGGATGCTTGCATTTATCGTTTGTATGTGAACAACTTATTCTTAATATAGACTGTCTGACTGAGATGCCTGAGTCAGCGATTACCACTAAGTTAGACTGAGTATTTTACCAACACACACAGCTGTTGACTCATTGCAACTTGTTTTAAACCATTTATCTTATGATTCAAGTCCTGTTCTGTAGGACTTTTTAATGGAATGGTAACCCCGCCTATGCTATCAATATATGTCAGTGGGGGAAAGAGATTGTTAGCAATAGAGTTTGATAGCCCCATTGCTAGCAATATGCCCTATTAGGTCAACCTCCACGTGGTCTCCCCTGGAAACCATCATGAACAATTCTTGTTGGATTCCTCACGATAGGCTAACTGACCTGCTCCATCCTCATCTATCATCTTTCACTGGTGCCCCGCCAGCGTATACCATTAGCGCGGGCGAGGATACCATTCCATTCTCATCCATTTAAAAAAAAATACTATACAAGATTATAATATACTAATTATTATTACAGCGGTCATAAACAAAGTATATTATGCAATAAAGATTTTACAACAATAACAACATATTTTTAAAACAAAAAAAAATATCTACTTGGCATTAAAGGCATCACGTACTGGCCGTTTCGAATACGGAACTAAACCATAATTGAGCCGTAGCATTAACGTGTATATTCACCAAAGTGGTTTATTTTGGCGAACACTACAGGATGTTATTTATTTGGCTTACCTCTCCGCAGCTCTATTTATAGCTAACTGGGAGAGTAACATCCGACTCGGATCTCCCGAGAATGGAAATGGACAAAGCCGGACGCAGGGCTCAATGAAAACGTATGATTAACAAAAATGATAATGCGTATTGCGTTAAAATGTAATTTTTTTTTTACTTTATTTGTAACCAGAGATGTTACAGATATACCGTTTTTATGGTATAGTAACCTAGTATTTTTTGTTTGGGAATTTTATAATAGTATTTTTTACTCTAATTAATACGAATGTTTGAAACGATGGTTGGATTTGTTATTCTTTCACGTAAAAACTTCTGAACATATTTGAAAGAAATTTGATACATGAGTAAATTATATCTGAATTTAGGACATAGAATACTTTATGTACTGGTCCGGACGAAGCTACGGGATATAGTTTGCAATATAAAATAAGGTACCACACAATCAATCACGTGATCGTCGAGCTAGGATATCCTATATTATGAGAAATCAGGCGACGAGCATCTATTAGCACAACCTAGATACAACCAAACCCGAGTAAATTTACAATAGTTCGTCTCCTAAATTGCCCCGACCGAAAATCGATCCGAGACCTCAACAATACAAAGCAAAGTGTCCATCACATACTTGATATTTTTATAAAATACAATATATATCTTAATTATACGAATGTAAATTTTATTACGTGTCATAAAATGTCACTGGGAGGGGGGGGGGGGGAACAGCTATTGATAGTAATGCGGACTACCAGTCGCATTGCTATCAGTATACCCTGTCAGGTCGACCTCCACGTGGTCTCCTCTGGAAACCGTCGTGCTGAATTCCAGATGTATTCATCACGATGAGCTAACTGACCTGCCCTTTCATTCTCATCTATTATCCCTCACTAGTGCCCCGCCAGCGTCACTAGTGCCACTGATAGCGCAGGCGAGGTTACCATTCCACTATCATCCATTGAAAAAAAATTTATGCCATCATGTCCATTCCATAATCACATACCGGAATGTAAAATAAATGTATTTAAAATCATACCAGACTCAATCTCTGAGCCCGACACTGTACTGTTTATAAACAAACATGACTTTAACCATAAGATTTATTACTGAATCACTCAGCAGTTAGTTAACCCACTTGCAGTTTATTGCTTGATTTTACTATTTCTATCATAAAGAAGGGATATGTTATAAATTTAATAATTCTATACTCGGATCTGTCAGGGATTGGCGTTTTAGTCACTGAGTTCTATTCTAAAATGGAGTCTCAATACATATTTCTGGTATAAAAATTGTTCATTAGTAATTTATCAAAAGTATCCTTAACTGAGAATGTCATAAGAGGCAAAGAACATGGACAAAGGGAATGGTCGAGGGAAAAGCATCAATGTACCTTTTAAACTATCACCAAAAACCTAACTGCGGTTGCCAACCCGTCTACCAAGCGTGTAAATTATATGTCAATTGATTGTATTTTTAAAACGGTTTGAGGTAACAAACAAACAAACTCACTTACACATCTCTACATACTTAGTATCAAACAAAGTTGCATCCTACCGTCTGTACACTTAGATCTTTTAAACAACGTAACGTATTTAAATGTGATTTTCATCAACAGATAGGATGATTCAAGAGGAAGGTTTGTATGTATAATATAATACACAGAACATAACTGTTAGCACACGTGCAAAGCCGAAAGTAATAACTAGTTTGTAATAATAATTAGTAAGAATACAATGGTCGTTAGATAAAATCAAAAATTATGCTTAATAGTTGTTTACAAAGACATTAAGAGGCCAAAACTCAAATATATAATATTGCCACATTAATATATGTATTGATTTTTCATTAAGCATTTAAACACTGTTTCAATACTGATAATATAATTAGGCATGTCTAAATATTGCATTAACTTCGTGTTGGAAATGTAATTTAGCCTTTGCCTAAGAAATTTGTGTTGTCAATGTCAGAAAGGTATCTGTAAAAAAAAGTGTCTGTTCTTATTACTTACTCTATGAACTGTTACAAAGATGGAGAAATGTCTATGTTAACTTTGTTGTGGTGTTCCTTGTATAAAATATATGTTTTAAAACAAAGAAGATTCGTTTAATTAGTAGTGTTATTAAAAAGGCTTTATAAAGCATTTCGGCCATATGGATACATATATTTTCACTTCGAAATGAGTATATAAAAAATGTTATTTACAAATTAATGACCGTTTAAAACAATACAACAATAAAACATCCACTGCACTGACACTACGGAGCCATCTTGTACGCAATCGTAAACATTATTTACGACTATTCGTCGCGTTATTACAAAATACGGCAATTATTGTTTACGAATTCTTCAAGAATATGAGCACATTTGCTTTAACGATCTCTTTGTAGGTTTTCATTCATATAGAAATATTTGCAATTCACTTTATTTGCACTTGACGAAACTGACGTTGCGTACGGTTGCCTTCATGCTGTGAGTTTGAACTGCAGACATTTTGTTTTGCAATATACAATAAGGATTTTCTTAATATACTAATTGCTTCATCTGCACGAACTCATCTTTCATTCGATTACAACAATTTTATTTCTTTTTTCTTATTTTACTGAACAATTTTTAATATATTATACAGGGGGAGAAGGGTTTGTTAGTATTTTTTAACTTAGGTAGGTCGGGGGGAAGGGATTGTTAGTAATACGGAGGTTAGTCCTCATTGTTATCAATAGACATATCAGGTCGACCTCCACACGGTTCACTCTGGAAACTATATATATATATATATATATATATATATATATATATATATATATATATATATATATATATATATATATATATATATATATATATGTGTGTGTGTTTTGGGACGTCTTTATTGGTATTCTTACCATTTGGAATTATTTTATTTAAAGATAAACAAACGGTACCTTTTATTATACTAAAGAATAATACAATAGATACTATGAACTCACCTATAACATATTTTGCATGGAATCGACATAGTGCGCCCATAACACACATCGAGTACCGGCCGAAAACTAAAAGCGCGTAATCAATAGAACGATGAATGAACCAATTGTGAAAATTTGTTTAATTTGAATATTTCCAGCCATAACACTAATTAGTATATGTATTATAGTCTTTTTAACCTACTTAATTAAAGCGTACATATGTTTAATTTTATAAAAAAAAAAAATCTGATTAACGAATTATGATACAAATATTTCACTAATAACACTCACGAGGTCAGAATTAAACTGAAAGCGAGTAGACAAGTGCAATAACAAAGGAAACTCCGTTACGAAATGATTGTGGGCGGACATTCTCTAATAAAAGAGATGCCAATTCGTGACGATACGGTGACGATAAGATGTGCGAGCCTACGTTCTCTGATGAGTCAAACATCGTCATGGGGGTGTATTTTAACGTTTCAGCTGACGCTAGTAATTGTTATGTCCAATTATGTAATTAAATCAGGTATAATACTAAAATCCTAAATGAGATACCGTCTCATTATGCCATAGATGTTATCAAATAAATTTAATTCAAAACAGGTGATTTTTAAAAA